TATTTAACACTAGATTGCCTAAGGAAGTCATTTTGACTGCTTTTAATTTCAATTAGAAAAACAATGATGTCTATAATGACACAATTTCTTTGAATTTTGTGACATTTTGTGCAACATATAATTTTTTTATTGTTAAATATTTACTAATAACTTGTTAAATATCTGTAAATAATATAAAAAAAGTTAAAAATTAATTTTAAACAAATTTATTTACGCATTCACAATCCTGTCATTTTGACTGCTTTTAGGCAATATAGGTATATACTAATTTTCCGTCTTTCTAGTGTTAATGCGCCGAAACGACATTACTTTCCGGTCCCCCTAATATATATATATATATATATTAGGAGTTTGATGGTATAGGGTTCTATTGCATACGACACAAGATTCTAGAATTCAATGAATTTTCAATGCAAGAACATTTAAAATTCAATTCTACTGTAAGCCTTCGCCTTATCCTCTCAGTAACCTACCATTTATTAATATTTGTTTCTTTATGTTATTTAATAAAAAGCAGTTTTAATGGTTTACAGTGTAAAATCGAATATAGTGTCAGTTTTGCTAAATTTTTTAAAAGTATTATCTTGATATATAAGGTGTTAGATTTAGTACAAGCTTACAATTTTTCCATAAATAGTATGATTGATGGAGAAATATTTTAATCTTTTATAATAATAATAATATAGAAGAATAACTGATACTAAATGTTGATAACAATAATGTCGGTGCTAAAATTGGGATATTTACTGTTTCATGTAACTTATTTCTTTTTTACTAACACATTTTTGAACATTGGTAACAGAGAGGAACATGATGCAGATTGAAGTTAATGTTTTATTTTTTTTTTCCTTTTATGTTTCAAATCAAAAAGTGCACTGCTGTTTCAAATTTTATGTTAGACTTGCTAATTTCAGTTGCAGCTGAAATTTTTATAAGTAGAAATGTGAAAGTTTAATTTTTAAAAAGGCTTTGAGATTTTTTAACAAAAATAATTAAAAAAAATTTAAAAAAAACTGGCGTAGGACGTAAGAAAAAATAAACTTGGATAAGTTCAGTAAAAGAACAGTGGATCGAGCAAGAACATGCTTTAACCCTTTGACGCAGATGGGACACTGGGGTCCCTGTTATATATTTTTTCTGAAGCTCTACTTACAAGCAAAAATGTATTTTGATATTTTTTAATTGTAAAAAACTGTCTAATAGTTGCTAAAAAATTTGTGAGATTATCGGAATCATATTTGTACTAAAATATAAAATCCAAAAAAAAGGTAGTTAAAAAAAATTTCATTCATGTTCAAAAGAATACAAATAATTGATTTTATAAATTAAAGAAGTTTAAACAATGAATAACTTTCTCTTATATAGTAATAACTGCAAATGGGCACGAAATATTAAAAAAAATATTGTTTGGAAGAGAGCCTTGATTGGAAGAGTTTAACCTTTAACGCAAAAAAAAAAAAAAAAATACTCGTGTTTTATGATGTGTTTCATAACCATAAATTATTAAAATGCTAAATAAAATATTTTTCGCTTATTTTGATCTAAATTAATACAAAATAATGAAAAGAGTATGTAAAATACGACTAGTAAAAACTCTACGTCAAAGTGTTAAGGGAATAAACAATTTCAAAAAATACTTTAAAAATTATTTTTTAATTTTTTTAAAAATCAATATTTATTTCAATTATTACAATAACCATAATTATTACAATAATCATAATTATCTACGTATGGAAAGTTAGAAAAAATATTTGGGTAAAAATAACATTTTCCCTATAACTCTCTTAATAATCCAGGATCAAAATTACTTTGGCATGTCTTCGGATCATCCTTAGGGGTGTTTCCCCTGAGGATGATACGAACAAATACTCCATTGTGTAGCTCAAGGGTGGCGTAAGCAAATAACTTTTAATAATCCAATAATTAGAAGTTTATTGTAAAAATCTTGCGATCCACGTTTACTGTTTTAGATATTACAAAAATAAAATTATTTTCTCCTTTGTAGTCCACTTAAATAGCGTAAATTGTAAGAAATTTTTTTTCTTTTTACTGTTCTATTTTTTTGGATTTATGTATGTCAGACTGTTTTCTATTTTTAATTGGCGGTAAATTCTGCTGATAAGTTCGAGAAACAGTTTTTACTGTCATCCAGTACAGCTTCAGTTCTGGTTGAAATGTGGTCAGTGTAGGTGCAGAAAAGATGGTTGAATAAATAAATGGTTGAATTTTTGGTTAAAGATTTTTGATTTAAGAAGCTAAATTTGATTTGGCGAAATAATGCCGATTAATTCTGCCTGTATTCTGCTGCGATTGAAACTTACATTGTTAACCCGAACAGAGATCTAGTAGATATGTGATTCCTTAAGCTAGTTGGAAAGTGATCGAAAGTTTGATTGTAAAATTGGCATTTGAGAAAGAAAAAAAACAAGTGAGTTACGTAAAATTTGTATAAGATTGAATAAAATAATTGCAAAGTTCTATTATTTTAAAGTTTCGTAGTTATCTACGCAAATACAACAATTTACATTTTCAAAAAATACTATGATACTTGAAAAATTCTTTAATGTAAGAAATTTTAACAAAACTACTAGCTCGATTGTAATTTATACCAGAATAGTATATATTTACAACGGCCTGATGAAATTTCTCGTTCATTTTTTTATTAGTTTAGATATTATATGAAGAAGTTTGAAAAATTTGAGTTTCTACAAGTTCGTTTATGAAATTTTATGAGAATAAAGTAGATGTTTGTCTCTTTTATTGTTTTGAAAGTTGTCCTGGTTGGACGTGTGCTTTGACGCAAAATTCGTATGATATTTTTTTTATTATGTTGTATTAATTTAGTTCGCAAAATAAGGGGAAAATGTTATATTTAGCATTTAATAATGTATGGTTATGAAATACAGCATGGGACACCGGTATCTCTTTCTGCGTTAAAGGTAAAATCTTCTAAGCACGCCTCACTTTCAAATATTTTTTTTAATTTGCAGTTACTTAGATCTGAGAGAAACAACTATTTGTCATTGAAATTTCTTTAATTTAAGAAATCAATTGATAAATTTTTGAATATGACTGAAAAAAGTAATTTTCAAACTATTTTCGTTAGATTTTATATTTTAGTACAAACATAATTCCGATAATATAACTATTAGACTGTTTTTATAATTGAAAAATAATTTGTAAATAAAACGTCAGAAAAGATATATAAAAAGGACACCGATGTCCCATCTGCATCAAGGAATTAATAATATTGATATATTATTATCATTTAGCTGTTCTTAAGAAATTTATTTTCAAAATTTCAAGTTTTAATTTTATATGTTTCAACCTTTAGAATCTGTTCAAATTTGGAAAGAGCTATTGGACTTTCATAAAGATTTAGAGCCAACAAATGCTTACAGAGGCATATATACAACGGTGAGTGAATAAATTTTAAATTTTTATTATGTACAGCTTTATAATTGAATTTTTTTACTGAAGATTAGTTTAGTATATCCTTTTCACTTTTGAAATTTAAATGGTTTTCATATATATGATAAATTCGAGTTCAATGATAAATTCTCACAGGACAAAATCTCACATTAATTATTCGCCCCACATGGTTGCTAAGTTCTGGACTTTGCTCCGTAAAGATTATGCTTGTTTAATGTTTAAAAAAGTAAGCGAAGTCCTTGGTTTCAATTTTTACAAATTTGGGTTTAACATCGAAAAGGTGCATTTTGCGCTGTGTCTATTATCTAAAATACACCTTTTGAGTTATGTTCATTTTCTTAAATACACTTTTTGAGCTACATCCATTTTCTTAAATACGCATTTTGAGCTGTCGAATTTTGAGCTCGCATTTTACAACTATGTTTATTTTCTTCTAGCGCGCATTGTGAGCTGTGTTCATTTTCTTAAATAAGGATTTTGAGCAATGTCCTTTTTCTAAAACAGGTATTTTAATCTATGTCCAAAACAAAACACTGTCCGACAAGCTGTTGATACCTATTTGAAAGTATCTTTCAAAACATTTAAAATGCAATGTTGTTGCATAATCAGGATAAGGAAAAATGTAGAGGCTGTTATTATAAAAAGCTGAGGATTAATTTTTTTGGGGGGGTTGGGGGCAAAATTTGCCCAACGCAATTCTACAATCAGCATTTTTGGAAAATTGTTCATTATCAACTTGTTTCTAGATCAAAAACATGGTTTTTACAGAATTTATTTTTAAAAAAATTTTCAGCATCCTCCGAACCAACTTTTGTAAGTTTAAGTAAATTTTTTAAAATAAAATCGAAAGACAGACAAAAGTTACTAATCAATTCAGAATTGATTAACAATTTCAAAAAGAAAAACGAGTATTCAGATAGTAACAATATTAATAAACTGATACCTATGTACAAAAAAATTTATTTTCAACCCGACTTTGTTCGCAAGCAGGTCGTTAGGCTACCGAAGCGGGGTGCCATCCCCTCTACAGAGGATCAAAATTCTGATGCATGTCTTCGGATCATCCTCAGGGATGTTTCCCAGACCGTCGCCAATAGCCCATTGTGCAGCTCTAGGGCGACGTAAATGATTTATAACAATCAGCCGACTTGAAAAAAAAATAATAAATTTTATTTCATTTATAATGTATTTAAACATTTATATTTATAAATTTAATAATGTATTTAAATAAAATTAATCTAAGAACTTTTCTCGGGAAATCTCTTTCTTTTTTTAAAGAAATTTCACTTAGGCGTTTTGTCATAGGACAACCATTTTTTGTATCAATATTGCAAATTCAATTAATATTGTCTTATGCTCGATAAAAGTGTGTTTTAACAAAATTAATTGTGTTATTTTAGTATGAAACAAGTGCACATTTTATTTTACAGGATGTTATGAAAACAGCCGTTACGGAGTTGTTGTCGAAGTCAGATCCAAATGTACCCCTTTTTTTATATCTTCCTTTTCAAGCAGTCCACTTCCCATTGCAGGTAAAAGTACTTTCATCGCAAATGTCACCTCATTTAAGTGCATGTTGTTCGTTAGTCCCTTTATTTTGGGTACGTAGTATTGTAAGTTTTTTCTTGTACGTTGGCGCAGCATAACCGCATCCGACTCTTGTGGTATAGAACTCTGCATTGTATCCAACTTCTTCCAGTATTCAATTGTAAGTACTGCGTATGTAACATGATTGTTTTGATCACTTTTTCCCCTTTATTATTTTTAAAAACAATTATTATTCTCAAATCCCAATGTGTATTGCCTATATTCATGCTATAAAATATGTTAAATATTAATTTTTAATTTCAGGTACCAAAAATATATGAAGATCAATATATGAACGTTAAAAATAAAGAAAGAAGAATATTTAGCGGTGAGTTCGATCCTGTAATTTTTCCTGTTTTTTAAACCAATTAATCTTTAAAATTCCATTATAATAAATTTTTGTATTGGAAAAAATTTAAATAATATAAGTGAAAGGTGGGCAACATGAGATTTTTTTATGTTTATATAATGTATAAAAATATGTAAATATATGAAGATCAATATATGAACGTTAAAAATAAAGAAAGAAGAATATTTAGCAGTGAGTTCGATCCTGTAATTTTTCTGTTTTTTAAAGCAATTAATCTTTAAAATTCCCATATGATAAATTTTTGTATTGGAACAAATTTAAATAATATAAGTGAAAGGTGGGCAACATGAGATTTTTTTATGTTTATATAATATATGAAGATATGCAAATATATGAAGATCAATATATGAACGTTAAAAATAAAGAAAAAAGAATATTTAGCGGTGAGTTCGATTATGTAATTTTCCCCGTTTTTTTAATGTAATTAATCTTTAAGATTCCATTATGATAAATTTTTATATTAGAACAAATTTAAATAATATAAATGAAAGGTGGGCAACATAAAATTTTATAATATTTATATAATGCTCCCATCATTATATTAATATACTGTCACATACGCGATTGGTTATCAATTATAATCCTAGTAGCCAAGCAAAAAAGCTGGAACAGGAATTGTCAGTGTTGCCTGTGACTTTAAATTGGTTGGACTACACTTTTTTTCTTTTTTTAAATTTAAACCTGTTTTATTTTTCCTTTGTTTGTTTTATACAAATTACTCAAGGTCATCGCTAAATAATTTATAGCATGATCAATTAGTTCCCTAATTATTTGCTCTGATGCTGTTTGAGCAGTGTACGATTGCTTTTAAAATAATGTGCATTCGGGGGCTTGGTTATGTGAGATAGGATGTTAGATCACGTATTTTGAAACCATGTTATGCAGATTGGCGACGTATCTACGCAGATTTGCTATGTATTTGGAAGGTAGTGAAATACGGATCACACATTTTAAGTGTATCAATTTATATTAGAAAAATATTTTTATTTATTTATTTTTAATAATTTTCTGAAGAGTTAAAAAAAAATTCTACCTGATAGCAGTAAAAGAGCTTCTAAAACAAACCATTTTGGATTATATATAATTTACCTGGTTACACGTTGCCACAAATGGTGGCTATAGTCGTCCGATTTTTGGCGATATATAGGCAAATGGCGGCTATAACCATCCTCAGAGTGTATCGTTTCAAACAAAAATCTCTTTTAATAGATGTTCTAACTATCACTTCTTTTTTAAAACAAATTTCTATTTTTCAATATCAGTCATTTTTTATAACTGTAGTTGAACAGCAGACCCAATTTTGGGTTTACGACTACAAACTCCGTAACCTTGTAATTTTGAACCCAATCCAGAAGACAAAGGAACTCCTGGACCAAGTACCGGGAAAAATTTTTCTTTGTGGAGAACTTTTTGATGGACCTAACCAGCATTTGCGCTACATAGAAAAGAAAACCATCCATGGTTAGCCTGATGGCAAGGAGTCTCTAACCCGTGATCCGTTTATTACTGAGGATATTTTACGTCAGCACTGTGGTCGGTGCGAGCAGAGTGCAGAATTCGTATTGACCCGTCATCGCCAGGATTCAAACCAGGTTTACTTCATTGGAAGGCGAACGCTCCATCCTCTGAGCCACCACTGATCATATCAAAATCATTGGAGAAGTTGTATCTCAAATCTTTGAAAATCATCGAATTTAAAATAAATATCACGTAAATTTTTATGACCCGTTGACACCCTGGCCATTTTTAATTGATAAGAAAAGAACATCATTAGTACGAAGTGTTTATTAATTTTTCAGCAATCAAGATATCCTGTAAGTTTATCTGGAAAGAAAAATTCGAAATGAAAACTTTTTTCTGTATTAAATATGAGAATATTATGCATTATTGCAAATTTTTATTCCAATTCTGAGAATTTTATGTCATATTTAAAAGCTTTCTTAATGTTTTATTAGAATTATTTAAAAAAATTAAACTTTTTAACTGACTTTAATTGTTTGGAATAATTTATCACTGACTAAATTAATTATCATTTGTAACTTTACAGGTATGGTTACAGCTTTGGATGAAGCAGTTGGCAGTCTAGTCACTGATATGAAAAAATACGGGTTCTGGGACAATTTTCTGATAGTATTCATTTCAGATGTATGTATCCAATATACTTTTTATTTATTTTATACAATAAGTTTAACCGCTGCATCTGATTACAAGCCCACAGTAAAATAAAAGGAATTAGCACAGTAGGCAATTTTAAATTTAAAATAAGAAAAGAAACGGGAATTAAATCAATATTGATTCGACAGGATTTAAAAGGTATTAAGCGTAACTAACAACGAGTGATCATAGAGTGAAAAAGGCTGAACTAGAGATAGATGTGTTTAACTGCTGATTCTAATTACAGGCCTGCAGTACAAGGAAAGGAAGAGAAATTAGCTCAGTAGACAATTTTAAATTTAAAAAAGAAAAGAAAAAGGGATTAAATCAAAATAGATTGACCAGTATTGAAAAGTTGTTAAGCTTAACTAACGATTGAAAGACTCACCATAGAGTTAAAAAAAGACTCAACTAGAAATAGATGTGGGCCGATCCATAAACCCAAATACTTTGATTTGATAAAAAAAAAATCACTCACTGTTCATAACCATATTATAGACCAATTCCACCATTATCTCATGTGAAAGAAAACAGCAAATTCCCTTAAAAAACTCGTAATTCATTTAGACAATCAGGATGGCTCGACTTAGTTTGAAATCTTAGTTTGGTTTGATCTGTCGTAAAGATAGGGCAAGCGTTTCATTTTCCCAGGTCCTATACTATTGTTGTTGTTGTTAATTTACGTCGCACTAGAGCTGCACAATGGGCTATCGGCGACGGTCTGGGAAACATCCCTGGAGGATGATCCGAAGACACGCCATCTCAAAACATCTCCTCTGCAGAGGGGATGGCACCCCCGCTTCGGTAGCCCGACGACCTGCACGCGAAGTCGAGCACTTTACGGTAGAACAGTTTAACGAGGACCAATACCACACACCCTCGGTCCCTACGCAGGCTGATCCTTGTGGCCTCGCACCCGCACACTGACCGTAGCCAGTGATGCTTGACTTCGGTGATCTGCTGGGAACCGTGTCATAACGATCAGTCCACTGCGGGACCCTATACTATTAATATATAATAAAGAACTCTTTTCAATATTTATAAAAATTAGATTTTTTTTAACGAAACACCCCGACAAAATCTTTCTATAAATATAATTTGAATTTAAAAGCCCTTTTTTCTTATTTCAAAATTGAAACTAAGAATTAATTTTTTGATAATGAAGATATTAAGATCAGTATTGCAAGGAAAGGAATGAATATGAAATTCTCAGTTTTTTTTTTTTTATTGTTTGTTACCTAGTATGTTAATAATATACTTCTGTTTAAAGGATCCTATTTATTTAGTCATTTATTTGACTGATTTCAGCACATATGTGCTTCCAAAATATCAGTACTATGTTATTTGCGTAGTAATGAAGTTGTTCTATTAAGTTTTATTTCAAAATAGGTTTTTGGGTCGTAAGCTGATCTGAGATCAGTCACTGATATAGAATAGTAGGAAAAAAAACTTTCAATAAACTGAAGGCTTATTTGTGGCAAGCTTCTGAAATTTTCAATACTAAAAATCTTTAAAAAATAAAAGTGTTTCCCTTTAGGTTGGTGCATTCGCTCTGATCACTGGGTCTAAAATAGGATACGGTTTTACTCTTTTTGTTATTTTATTTTAACAATCAATATATTTTTACATTTATAAGCAGATAGACAAAACAAAAACACTGGTTACTGCTTTTATATTCAAGAGTTAAGAACAATGACTTTATTTATTTGACCTAATTCTCTTTTTGACAGATGGCGCTTGAAGCCACAAGTTTGGTACTTCCCTGCAGTCCCCCAACTGGGTAATCGCAAAATGTTTCTTTTTTTTATTTGTCTGCTGGTTAGTTTCGGCCGGCCTCTTTTCCGTTTTCCATCCTGCGTCCATGTTAAAGTTGTTCTTGTTGGGTCGCGTGAGAGCATTCTTAGCGTGTGTCTTATCCAGGATCATCTTCGTTTTTTCGTTTCTATTGCGATGTGTTTGGTTTTTGTTTCATAGCAGAGTTCGCTGTTAGTAATTTTATTTGGCTAGTATATTTTTAAAAAGTATCGAGTTTTTGTTTTCTAGTTTCCATGATTTGCTGCCAATAAGAGCACAGATTTAACTGTAGTATTAAAAATTTGCAACTTGAGTTTAGTATTTAAGTTAAATGATTTCCAAATTCTTTGTAGTTTTCTGAAAGCATGGGCTTGATTAATACTTGCAGTGATGCCTTCATTTGAACCTACTTCGGTAGTTGAAATGTGCTTGTTTAATTTCATTTCCTTTTCTATATATATCATCATTTTTGCTTCTATTATTTTTTAGTATTATAGTCTTCTCATTAATCTGTAATCCAACCTTTTTCGCACTTTCTTCAAGTCTATTTGTTTTGGTCTTCATGTCCTCCAGTTTGGAAAACAACAATACAATATCGTCTGTGTAATCAAGGTCCGCTAGGTTTTCATTGAAATTCCATCGTATTTCAGCTTTTTTTTTTTTTTTTTTTTTNTTTTTTTTTTTTTTTTTTTTTTTTTTTTTTTTTTTTTTTTTTTTTTTTGTCTTTTAGTGTGAATGATCGCATTATCCAGTCAATGACTGTATTAAATAGCGTTTCAGACATTACACAGCCCTGTTTGATCCCAGTTCTGATGACAATAGTAAAATTTTCATTTCATATTTCACGTTAGAAAGATTTTGAGAAGCGTTATGTTTCTCCTGCAATTTCCCCTAACTTTACGTTATTTGAACTTTCCAGCTCATGTATGAAAATTTCCCTGTCAATCACATTGTCTCCATTAAGGTTAGCGTTACTGTTAACTTTTAACAAAAGATATGCAAAATCTCTATTAATCTTGATTAACCCCATATTATCAATGCAACTTCAAATGCTTTCTTTAACTCTAACACCAAGGCAAAAACAACACTTAATTTATTAATTTCAAGGGCATTTTTATAAGAAATGTACTCATTTATTCATTAAAATTTTTAATGCATTTAATTTTTTAGAACGGCGGCGAAATTTTGAGCGGTGGTAGTAACTATCCACTTCGAGGAGCAAAAATGACGTTGTGGGAAGGTGGAACAAGAGTGCCAACTTTTGTTTATGGAGATATACTACAGAAGACAGGATACATTAATAACAAGTAATTTTTTAATTAATTAATTTTTAATTAATTAGTAATTTTTTAATTAGTAATTTTTTTAATTAATTAATAATTTTTAGTTAATTAGTAATTTTTTAATTTGTAATTTTTTTATTTAATTAGTAATTTTTAGTTAATTAGTAATTTTTAATTAATTAGTAATTTTTAGTTAATTAGTAATTTTTTTTACTTAATTAGTAATTTTTAGTTAATTAGTAATTTTTTTATTAATTAGTAATTTTTTTAATTAATTAGTAATTTATTCCTGTATTTTAAATAAAAAAATTTCTTTAGAATAATAAAATAGGGAATTTTAAAGTATTAAACTAAAAAAAATAATAAAAATTAGCTCTCAAGTTTGAACCTATCTGTAAAACCTCACGTTTGGATAAACTAAAAACCATTTTTTTTTAATGAAAAGAAATGAGCAAATGGTTTCAGAATAAATTTTGTAATAATTTTCTATGTTTATATTTAATACAAATTTTGCATCTGTAATGTATATGAAACAGATAATTTATTCCTCCATATTGAAAATTTGTTTTTAAAAATTTAAAAGATGATTCAACCAAATGAAGCTTTGTAACTCATTTGCAGAAAACTTGATAAGTTTTTCCTTGATGTTTATCATAGCGTTTTTAAATTGCATGTCCTCATAATCCAAGTAAAATAGACAAATTTGTTTTCAAACTTTGATACCAAACTCAATATTTCTTAGTCGATAAAAATTAAACCAGATTAGCGAATGAGAATTGAGATTTAGTGCTCAGAAATAAAAAATATCACCTATCATCCTGAATAACTTATGTTCTAATTATTAGATTTTTATAAGCTGAATAAGTCAATCTTAATTATTCAAAGAGGCAACCTCAAATATGCTGACTAAATAGTGCATGCCATAATTCAAGAAACGAAATCAGACACAAAAACGTACTTTTTCTGAATAAATGTACCTTTTCTTTGATGGATTTGGAATTTTGACTTTCAAAATATGGAGGTAGCTGAAATGTGGTCCCAATTGTTTAGTTAGAGAAAATAGTTTTTTAATTATAAGAAAAATAGTATAGTTGGAGAAAATAGTTTAGTTAAGAAAAATAGTTTAGTTAGGTAAAAGGGAACGCTTTTTATATTTTATAACTATCGTTGAACAGCCAACCCAATTTTTTGGGATAACTCTAGTTCAACTCCGTAGCCTTATAATTTTGAACCCAATACAGAAGACTAGGGACTTCTGGATCAAGTATCGGGAGAAATTTGCCTTCGTGGAGGACGTTTTGATGGAAGTAACCAGCATTTGCGTTACATGGAGAGAAACCACGAAAACCTCCCACGGTTAGCCTGGCGTCAAGGGGACTCTAACCCATAATCAGTCTACCTCTGAGGATATTTTACGTCTGCACTGTGGTCGGTGCGAGCCAGGGTTGGAATTCTTTTTCATCTGCCATCGCTGGGATTCCTACCCGGTTCACCTCATTGGAAGGCAAACGCTCTTTCCCCTGAGCCACCAGGGCGTATTTCATTATAACTAGAGAAGTTTTCAAGCGAATCGAAGCAACAGTCTGGATGGCTAACACAATCGTATTTTTATACACCTACTGGAAAAGAGAAGGCCTCAATTTAGTAGTCTGATGTGACGAACATAAACTGCGCAATGGAGGAAAATAAGAAATATGTAACTATGTTCGGGCTATTAAGTTGCGCAGTGGAGGAGATACGAAAGATGTCATTACGTATGGACTACTAAAGGATCAAATTTCTTGCTTATGGTAACCCGTGCTGAGGCCTTCTCTCTTCTAGGTGGTATTGCCTTATACTGTTTGCAGCTTATACCAACGGTGACCGCTTCTCATTGGCAGCCAGATTTGAACCTGCTTCCTTCCAGAAATTCGCTATCGCTGCAGAAAATCGTGCCACTTATATTCCAGCTTTTCGGTCCAATAAACTCTTCAGAGCCGTGGTGGTTCAGGGTATAGAGCATTCGTCATTCCAATGAGGTGAACCGGGTTCGAATCCCAGCGACAGCTAGTCGATACCAATTCCGCATCCGTCTTGCACCGACCACAGTGCTGACGTAAATTATCCTTAGTGGTAGATAGATCATGAGTTAGAGTCCCCTTGCCTTCAACCTAACCGTGGGAGTTTTTCGTGATTTTCCACTCCATGTAACGCAAGTGCGGGTTTTAATTCCATCAAAAAGTCTTTTGCAAAGGCAAAATTTCTCCCAATACTTGATCCAGGAGTTCCCTTGTCTTCTGGATTGGGTTCAAAATTACAAGGCTACGAAGTTGAACATTAGTTATCGTAAACCCAAAATTGGCTCTGCTGTTCAATTACAATTGTAAAATAATATATCCTCTTCAGGGCCGGCGAAGGAAAACACTTTCCCAATTGCAAATACAAAATTAATGAACCGAAATATTATGCAAGACGTAAATTCATATGGCTTATTTAATTTTTAATGAATCTTATTTAATCCTTAATATTTCACAATATCCTTAATATTTGCACTCTTTTTGTAAAATTTAAATTAAATAATAATATACAAATTTGTTGACCCATTAATCGAGTACGTAGTTAACAGCTATGAGACATTTCACAGCAATATTTACCTTCTAAAATTAATGATTTTTAAATCTAACAATTTTAAACAATTTTTATATCTATCGAAGATTTTAAATATGTAATATTGAACTTGGTAATATCGACTTAGTTAGAACGAGGGAGGGATTATAAAAATGAACTGAACTAAATGAATGTTTGGAAGGACGGGAAATAAGAATCCGCCCCAAACGCTCTTTTCCAATCCAGCGGCCTTTAGCGACCAGCTCTCCTGTTTGGCGTTTTTTTAAACGATTCTTAACTCTTTTTTTGAAGTTCAGGTAACAAATTTAAAAGAAAAGAAAAGTTAACATCATAATTGCGGCCAACAAAAGCCAAAAGGAAAAACTCCAATAAAAAGAGAGTCGTTAAAGTCGTTGTAAGTTACCGCCCTGGTCGGAAAAATCTTTTGCTACGTCTCTGAAAAAAAAAGAACCCGTAACGCGAATTTTAAATATGTTTTCGGTATTATATCCTTCTAAGACCCACCTTCCAATATGTCGGACAACATTTGGTAAAATTTTATCACTTATTTGAAACCTTTGAATCCTTTTTTAATTATTTTGAAACCTTTTTTTAATTATTTTGAAACATTTTTTTTTCTGTGTCTGTCTTCACAAAGTGATTACTTGCCTATCTGAAAATATAATTGGATCGTTTGTCGAAGTTTGATAGTGAAAAAAAAAATTTTATGATTAGAAACGTAAAAAATAAGATTCAAGTTACCTTTTGGACAGATTTATGGCATCTAAACATCGTATTATTTGAGATTATTGCACTTAATTACTTGACCAAAATGTAAGGAAATGCGCTACTATAAAATAATCCAACATGATACGAAAACTACTAAATATTAGTTAAGTTATTTTTTGATATAATAATTAAAAATAACTAAAGAAAGTTAATTACAAGTTTTTTTTTAAAGTACTTAACCGTATATATAAATTTTCGGCCATTATTTAAATCTCAGATTGCAGAAAATTATTCAATGACTGCAAACACATAGTCTTTTCAAAAAATTAATATGCTCAGTATTCTTATCGTTGTAGCGAAAGTTAATTATTTTAAGGCTCAAATATGCAATAAAAAAAATTTTACTGTTAAAGAAAGGTTCAAAATCAGTTCCAAACTTGATCTTAAAATATAGCAAATATTTAAAAAATAATTCTTCTTAAATTGCATGAGATTAAACATCTCAAAAATGTAAAGTTAGAATAAAATATATTATTTAATTTTCATTCCAGTTTAATTCACGCAGTTGATTGGTTTCCAACTTTATTAGCTGCTGCAGGAGGAGAAAATGAAGGTAACGTAGTTTTCTGATCAATTAAAAATTAAGATATTTTGTTATAATTTGCAATACCTGAAAACAGTGTTAATAACTAGATCAGACCCTGAAAACAAAAAAAGGTGAACTCTAGTTCTTTATTCTTCTAAAAATCAACATTAACTGATAAGTCTTGGACAATTTTGAGTGGTTATTCTCTTAATAAAGCCTTTTTATTTAGAATAATTAAATAATTTGTTTCGTGTCTATAATTCCCATATTTAAACATTTTTCATAATTAACTGAATCCGACTACATCTTGTGTTATACTTCATTCAAGCCCCCGATTAAGGGCACTGAAAAATCGGGTGTGGGGCAATTTTTGATCCCCCTAACGATCAGATTTTCACGCACTAGGACTCAAACTTGATGGTTTGAGAGCATAACCTTAAATATCTCATAGTATGGTAATTAAATAGTGAGTATGTTAATTAAATAGTGAAGACTATGTTTTACAGATACAAAAACTTTCTCTGTATTATCATACTTTGTTTTCGACCGATTTGGATTTTTGACAATTAAAATTGGGGAAAGCCGCAATCTAAAAAATAGGGTACCAATAGTTTAGTTGAGAGAGGTCTAAGTTTGAGTTCCTTAATGTTAATTACACTTTTTGCGTAATTCACCATATCTTAAACTTCGAATCCAAAAAATTTTTGCGCAATTATAAAATTCGATTAACCAAAGATAATTTCACGTAAAAAATAATTTTTAATAATTATTTATTAATATTTTATTTCATAAAGACTAAAAAAATTTAGAATCGTTAGGTATACAAATTTTTGCATCATTTTAAACTATACAATTTTAAATGTCAGAACGCAAAATTTAAACGAAGTTAGTGGAATTGTTTCTGAGTTATAAAAATTTATTTATAAAAGCTGTATTTTTATGGTTTCATTTCTCAAGAACTTATCAACTGACTTCTTTTGTCTTCATGAATCATATAATTTAAAATAAAGTAAAAATTTTTTTATTTCACAATTCAAAAATTTTTCGATCCTTATTATGTAAAATAATTAAAAAATAAATTATTGAAACTTATTTTTTACATGAAATTATTTTTAAGTAAACGAATACATTCATCAATTTTCGATTCATTTAAAACTTTACGAGGATGGCGAAATACGCAAGAAGTGAAATTAACATTAAAGGGCAGAAACTTTCTCCTGATCAAACTATTGGATTGGAATCATATTTCCCAGATTGTGGCTACCTCCACATTTTGGGGTTAAACAATCTAAATCGTTGAAAAACAAAAAACCATGATAATTAGGAGAAAGTACGTTTTTGTTTCTGACTTCGTAACTTAAAATATTGTCTGCAAACTAATTAGCATATTTGAGGTTCCCTTCAAACCATTAATCGTAGTACCTGAAAACCTGATCGACACAAAAATTACTTAGGTTTTTTTTCTTGCGCATTGATATTCATTCTGATATTCCCTACCTAGAAAAGTGTTGTATTGTTTCCTATGTATTTTATTAGGTCGAAAAAATTGGCAAAACTAATAGTTTAGAAGTTACAAGAATTTTGTGTACAAAGAGTAAAATTTATGACTAAAACATTTTACACATAAAATAATCATTCCCTCTAAACTATAAGTCCTATTGACTTAGTTTTTGTTTCTTTTGATTTATCAGAAATAAATACATAGAAAACACCTTACTTCTCTAAAAAAAATTATTTTCCCCCTTTCCCTCAGTAAATTCAAAATGCTGGCTAAAATTCACTTTGGACTTAGGAAGATGGAGCAATCTTCAAATATCCATACTGGGACCCTAACTTTCATAATGATTATCAGATTTCTCCGAATTATTCCAGTATTCAATGTTTAGGAAATGGTCTATAACAAAGTGATGTTCAAATAAATTACAAATTCATATTAAGAAAGATATGATTTTCCTAAACTATTTGGATAAAAGTTAAAAATTTTACTAAATTTTGGATGCTCTTGACATGGTGATTTCATCATTAATTACACGTCCAGCCTTAATTATTTATACTTCATTTTTATAATAAAGATAAAATAAGATAATCAGAATTCTATTAGATGTTGCACTATTTTTCAATTGAAGCATAATTCCGTAAGAATAATTTCCTAATATTTACTAAAATAGTTGGAAATGTATATTAGAATATTAACATAGTAGTATTACTTCTGAGTTACTTCACAGAAACTTTTCTGCAAGCATTATAAGTTGAATTTTCAAAATCGTAATACATATTTCTAAAATATACCTACTTTGTTCCAAAAGTGCCTTATGAAAACGTTATTTCAAAATAAAATTATAAATATTAGGTATTGATTTACCTAATATTTATAACTATATTATCTAACACTACTTGATGGTATCTATAATAATGGCGAAATTTAGGAAATATATCATAGTATCATGAATAAAAAACATGATTTTATATAATATGGATAACTAACATTTTTGCAGATTCTAAAAATATGGATGGATTGAATTTGTGGAATATGATAAGTAAAGATGGACCAGGAGTTAGAAGTGAATTTATTTACAACATTTTTGACTTGGAATATCAAAGAGCTGCCATACGGTAATAAATTTTCTGCCTAAAGGAATTATAAGTTTCAGACTGCCATATTATTTTACATATTACCTTATAAAGGAAATGTTTCCATATGATACTGCAACTCAGGAAATATTTCCATTTCTTAAGTTGCCGTGTCATATTTCTGAAAAAAAATGTTTTTTTTTTTCATACTATTTATTTGTTAGTCTTTAATCTCATTCTTATCAAAGAAACGAGCACTATTATCTTTGAAATGTTCTCTGTCAATTTGTTTTTGAAGGCAAATTGAACTCTAGACTAATGTCATGCAAAAATAACTGTAACATACTTTCTAATAAAATCATATTAAAAAAATTAAGTCCTGCAGTGGACTGATCGTTACCCCTTGGATCAGTTTATGAAGGGTCCAAGTGTGTGCGGTATTGGTTCTAACTAAACAGTTCTATCGTAAAGTGCTCAACTTCGCACGCAGGTAGTCGGGCTACCGAAGCGGGGGTGTCATCCCCTCTGCAGAGGATCAAAATTGTGATGGCATGTCTTTGAATCATCCAAAGTGATGTTTCCCAGACCATCGCCAATAATCCATTGTGCAGCTCTAGTGCGACGTAAATAAACTACAACAACAATTAAATTATTATTTCATTAAATTTTCCTTTCAATGAATGTAAATCATTAACATATTTTTTATTCAGTAACCTTGGCATGTAGAAGGAAATGTATCTATTTTTTTTTTTTTTTCCTTTTACAACTGCTTTAAACATATTTGTATAGAATTTGAAAACAGTTACCCAAAGCAGGGGATCAAAATTGTGATAACATGTTTCCCAGACCATCGCCAATAGCATCTTGTGCAATTCTAGTGTGGTATATATAAAGTACTACTACTACTCAAAAACCCTTACAAGGTAACAATTCATAGCCAATGCATGGATTCCTTAACTTTCCTTGGTGAAAAATAAACTAATGTTTCCATACACTTGCTTTTACAATTTCTTGTCCATGGAAGATGTTTTGAGAGGCTTCGGCCTGGAAGCCACACATTCTGGGCTTTTATCTAAAAGTTCAACCATTTTATTATTTAAAACTTATTTTTGCCAAAAAATATATATATATACTTTTGTGTGTACGAATGAAGAGTTATTTCTTTATATCTGGAGCTCTAGTGACAATAAATAAAAATAAGAATACTAATTTACCAACTTTTTCATCTTTAACTATTTCATATTTTATCTTCAAATCTAGATTAACATATGCAGATGTTAAGATCTGCTAATGTTAATACCAATCATAAAGGGAATGTCTAAAAATACATTAATTTTCACTCGCATACCAAGGTTAAAAAATAAAAAGATATTAATGATTTAGTTTTTAAATGACAGAAAATATGATACGCTTATTTCTGCAAGAAAACTAAAACCCTTTCAATTTTTACAGAACTTACAGCAACAACTCTTATAATATTTTGCATTGTGAATCCCTTTAGGAATATTTTATAAAACTTTCCATTTTTATGAAAAAAATTTCAATTCATTTACTACAATCATTGATATCTATCTTAATCCCATACAATGAACTTCATTTAAATAAAAAGAAATGATTTATGATACATTGATCACGAATTTCTAATTACAAAAGAAAACACTCCATTTAAAAAACTAGATTAACAGCAAGTAATAAAAAGAATACCATTAATCATCATCATTAATTTTGTGGTTCTCTCTAGCTGTACCACAATTTTTTTAAAAGTTCTGCCATAGGAATATCAAATATAGGAAATTCGCAAAATGGAAGTTCGTTAGATAGAAATCCGACTATATTTGGAAATTTACTTTTTACAGTTGATAGTTAAAAGTTAATATTTTTGAAAATATTCAAGAATTTTTATAATTGACTATAGAATTTTATTAATACTTTTGCACAGAGTGGGAGACTATAAATTAATCATAGGCTATCCTGGATTACCTTGTGATTGGCTTGAAGTTTCTGAATTGGAAGAGGGGATTGAACTTGAAACATCGTGCAATAAGTCTCACATCACAGAAAAAGGTGTCTATCTTTTTAATTTAAAAAGTAAGTCTTTTTTATAGATCTTAAAATTTACAAATAAAAATAATGAAACAGAATTCATTTACAAAAGGGGAAGCATTGTGAAATTTAAATGCATTTCTTAAATAATTTGAAAGTATGTACTTAATTTTCTTAATAGTACTATATGCTCCCAATTATTCACGGTCTAATCTTATGACAATATCTGGTGTGTATAAAATGCCACGGTAAATACTAGCTATGTACGGAGTCCTAAAATTTTGAAAAGCCCTCTAAATAAGAAACATAACCAGAGCATTCTAAATCTTTTCTTGCTAACTTTTCCTCATCTGATCAGAAGGAATATCCTATTCCTGTTGCTTATTGAGTACATTATAAAATATTTAAATCAGAAAAGTGTGAAATTCTGGATACTAAGCATCAAAAATAAACAATTTATATTTTAACATCCTCTTTTGTATAAAATTTAAGAATATATTAACAAGGAGAGTTAAACAATGAAATGTAGATTTAAAATCTATATTTAACTATTAAAAACTATATTTTGTTACTTATTATAAAAATTCTGAATTAATAGAAAATTTATTGTACAATATATTATAAAAATTTTGCAATAATTTATGCTCATTTTTGTATTTAAAACCTTAAATGTCTCTGAAACTTTTTTTAAAATATAAAATTTAAGACATCGCTTTAAAAGTTATATTTATAGTAAATTCAGCATTCTACCCCAACACAGGACTTAGCAACGTAAGTATTGCGTTTAAATAAATTGAAATGGCACATTTTTGGCAATGTGAATTTTCTTAGATGCGCATTTTGAACTATGTCCTATTTTTTAAACACTTATTTCAAGATGTAACCAGAATAATAAGCTCACTGATAATTCAGTTTAGTCCTAGAACCATTAAGATCTCAATTTAGTATGTGACAATCTGATCCCTAGATCAAAATTTATTAAAGGTGTACCATATTTTATTTTGCGCACTGTATATGTTTACATTTTAGGTTGACGATGTGCAGATAGTCTTTCCAAATAGTAAAACTACTCTCTAAAATTTGTTAATTCAAATCTTTGTCTTGAAATTCTGTAAAACTAGAAAATCAAATTATTAAAATTAATTTCAGACGACCCTTTAGAACAGAATAATTTAGCATCAACGGAAAAAGTTGTCTTACGTCGAATGAGACACCGTCTTGATCAAATGCGAAGATCCATGGTGCCATCTGATGATCCACTTCCAAATTTCTTTGCAATGAGGAAATTAAGCAAAATAGGTGCTTTAGTTCCAGGATGGTGTCAAGCAAAGTGAAATTCTTATGTTTATTTACAAATTTTTGATTTATGAGATTCTGAAAAAGTATGTGAAAGTATTGTTATTTATAAAAAGTTTTTTAGTTTGCATACTACTTATTTATTACACACAATTTTAACTCAATTTAAATATCATGAGATTAAAACTAAATAATTGGAACAATTAATTTGAGAAAAATATTTGATTCTATAAAAGCACTTAACAACCACAGTTAAACCAAGTTGTAAGTGCCAAAGGGATGCTGTCAGAGCACGATTTAAAGCTTAGTTATAGAGTGAATTTGATTCGAGGAAATATTTCAAGTGTTTTAACAATATTGAATGCAGACAAATAGTATGCTATTTTCAAAATTCTGTTATAATTAAATTAATTGCATTAAAATCAATTGTAAACAAACTAAACAAAGACATTCATTTAAAATTTAGGCAACTTTAAATTTCCACTGTGCAAAATTTATTTCTGCATCTTCCAATGAGTAAGAAAATGGATCCTCAATCCACCCCAAAAAAATTCACCATTTGAAAATAGATTACATTCAACAAATTCTATAAAATCCAAAAATTTTGAAACAAATCAAAATAGATAAGATACCTCAATCACTTTTGTACAATCTGTGGGCATTCCACCAGCTCAAAAAGTCAACTTTTGCAGCATTAGAATAGTTAAATATGTCATCACTTAACATTTTAGATAATTAAGACTTCAAATCAAAACAAAATACTATTGACAAGCCTTCAATTCACACACTTAATATAATTATTTTTAATTATTAGAAAATGCATCAAAATAAGCATTCTAGATGCTTGTGAACCTTTTATGAATAAAGTATTATGTATAATATTANCAAATCAAAACAAAATACTATTGACAAGCCTTCAATTCACACACTTAATATAAAATGCATCAAAATAAGCATTCTAGATGCTTGTGAACCTTTTATGAATAAAGTATTATGTATAATATTAAAAATTTGCATTGCTGAAAAAGATTTTTGCCAGATTTATTGATACATCGTCTCGAGTTGTAATAAATTTTTTTAGTCTTAAAATTATATCTTAATTCTTGCATTTCAGACATACATTTACTAAAATCATTTGAAGAAAAGTTATTTTCCTGTAGAATAAGCAGATGTTAAAAGTGAAAAACAATTTTTTTTCTTCACAGCAATCAACTTCATGTATGTTCAGAACTAGGAGAGAATAAGATTTTGAATCAATTGCTATTTTGTTCTTTCAGTTTTTGAAAAATGCTTTTAAAAAAATACAATCCAAATGCATGCTTATTTTTTTATCTACCAGTTATAGGCGATAGCAACGCTCTAGCAAGTCATCTGGGGAGAAGACCGGTATCCTGCCTTTGGCCCTTCCCTCTCCTCCTCTTTTCAGTTGTATAGAAATGTACTATGATATTTCTCCTTTTCTTAATATTTTTCGTATCCAATAGTTACAAATATATTTTTAAATATCCATGACGCTCTTTCAGAACTATGTTTAACGTAGTTTTAAGTTCCATATAGTTTCAAAACTTAAAAGATTTTAATCTATTTGAAAATCAAGACAGAAACTAACGTACATTCTTCTTCTATGACTCCCCACACACTTATGGTGAAAGTATGTGAAGTGTTGCCATAGGTAGAGAGTACTGCTCTATGCCACCTGTAGCTTATTTCGATCACCAATCGAGAGTAATGCTCCAGATTGTAACCCAGAGGTTGTCTACTACTTTTGAAACAAGAGAAACTGTTTTGGCTTTTGGCTAGGGGAGAATCGAAGAAATGACATAACCCTACCAACCTACAAGAAACCCCATACTGCCAGATCATGAATATGATGTCTGAAGAAGTTTTCACTATAACAGGACAATTCAAGTAGCAGTGTGTATATAGATCTACCACTTGCAAGCAGACAGTAAGATTGAATCCAAATATAGCAATTAACTACACACAGTAGTTTTTTTTAAATTTATTCTGATGGCAAATGTCTTGGATAGAGCCATTTAGAGTTAATTGATTTGAGTTTTCACCTAGTGGAAAAATCAATAAAACAGTAATTCCAACTCACAGAAACAATGACTCAGACTCATAAAAAGTGAAAGAAAATTTATTGACTGTAATTGCCATTAAAATAACTGTTAGAGAATACAAGTGACAAAAATATTTCCTTTTATTCAGAAGTATTTAAAAGCCTTCAGTTTCTCTAAATGAAACATCTTCAGTAAGATACCTGCATAATGAGCCTTAAGATATGTCCATTACACAAATCACAAGTAAAATCTGTGAGAAGGAAATTAAGGAACAAAATATTCAGGTAAAAATAAAACAAACATTTAATTACCATTAACAAAAAACATAATAATAACTACGTACATCTCAAATTAATTCATTGTTTACATACTATAAATATTGATTGAATAAAAAGAAACATAATTGATTAGGAGTGTATGTGAAATTAATTCTAATAAATAAAAAGAAACATGACTAAATATTTAAGCAAATGCATATAAAATATATTTATAAAATATTAACAAATGGAGCCGATGTTGCTCATAAAAATAGACTACAGTATAAAACCTCACTAACTTAGACTAATATTATTAATGGCTATCTCAGAATATGTTTATTCTATGAATAAATAAAACTTTCTTTAAGACTAAGATTCATCAACAGTTTAGAGCATTATAATTAACAAAGCTATAAATGAGCTTTTTTTAAAAAAATATTAATGCACAAATTAGTTAATGTGCACCAAACTTTTAAATATTCTTTTAAAATATCTTTATCCTATGCTTAAATAAAACTTTCATTAAGGCTAAGCATTATCAGCTTAGAACATAATTATTTATTGGGTTATGAGTGAGCTTTTTTTTTAAATTTAATGCACAACCTTGTTAACGTGCACCAAACTTTTAAATCAAAACAGCTTTGTAGCAATTCAGATTAATGAACCAAACACATTTCTTTCACAAATTCTAAACACTTAAAAAACATTTTCTAATAGAAGCTAAGAGTCTAAATTGCCATTTTTTATTACTGACTCATAATATAATTTCAAAAGCAACTATTTTAAGAAGAAAAAAAAACATATCTAAATTACCGAGGTTTCACAGAAGCCAGTCAAAAAATAAATAACAAAAAAAGTATGTAACTGAAAAACAGAATATCCTATTTTGACAAGAATGTGACCACATAACTACATAATATGGCACACTGTTCAGGCAAAATAAATTTATAAAATATTCACCACAAAACTAAAATTTAAAACACAAAGAATCAAATGGATCCTAAGAAACTTCAGCTTGCAAGATAATTTGATCATAAAAACAGAGGAAACAATATCTAATTTAAAATTTTATTTCAAGTTAAATCAATCAGTGAAAATTATTCATCATTTCATAATAATCAACTACAAATATTTTACTCAATACATTATACTTAATTTAAAAGCGCTTTGTCATTAAGTGATACATTTTTAGATTTCAAAATGCAAGCCTTATCAAGACACTAAGAACACGAAAATTTAATAATGTGCAGGTTTTAAAAGTATTCTTGAAAATTATTATTTGCGTAAGAAGTTGTAAATTTGAAAGATTTTTTTGAATGAGCAATTAGAATAAGATTAAAAAGTTTTCCGAATTAAAAAAAACTTAAGCTTCATTCACTACAAAATTTAAAGGGCTTAAATTAGCACTTCTATATTCTCATTTTTGGCAAATACTTTGTTGAAAATATATTTTAGGATTTAACAAAAAATGCAAAAGCATGTAGAATTTAAAGACCTCAAAATCAAAGAATTCTCACAGAACAAAACAAGCACTAAGAAACTTTATAAGTTGAATGCAAATCAATATTTATGAGTTACTAATTCATGCATTAATCAAAATTTCTTAACACTGATGCTGATTCAAAATAGTTAACTGTTTACTAGATTAGACTGATTTATAATTCAAATCCCTTTTTTCCCAACTAAAATTAATATGTACCTTTAGAATTTAAAGATAATTAGCTTAAGAAAATTGGTTTTTAAAAGAAAAATCATTTTTTCAAGAGTATTAATGGTTTGTGTGTGGAAATTTGTTTTAAATACAAATAAGAAAAATTCAGATATTTTAGTACTTTTAAATGCTAAATATACAGGGTGTTCCATAAGTATTGCAATTAATATAAATATTTAAGAACCTTGGCAAAAATAAAGATGCATAGTATGAAAATGCAAAAATAGTATACATGTAGAGGTCGCAAACTAATATGGGGTAATAATGAACTAGGCGACCATGAGAGAAAAAAATCAGCAAACTTCAAGAATCAGCAACATCACCATGGATAGGAAAAAATCTAGATTTTACGAAATATAAATTTCATGATAATTGTTGCACAATGTACTAAATATTTAACATATAGGGAATTTTATGGTCCTCAAAATATAAAAACTGCAATATTTTCCAGTTATGATTGACATTAAAAGAACTTGAAAAGCCAAGTATTATGTTTACTCATAATTTTGAACTAATATGCTTTCAATTCAGATAGTTAGAAGAAATTTTAAATAATTTAAAAAGGGAGTTCTGAATATAAAAATAAGAAAAACATTTTAGAACATAAAAATGTTTTTAACTGATTTCTATAAATGAGGCTTGTTTCATTATGCGTCAGTATAACGAATTTAAATATTCAAGCAAGCAATAATCAGTGCAAAAATGCTATTTCAGAAGGGATTTTTATTAGGAAACTTACTAAATTTTACGGAATTTTCTAAAAATGTACAAACTAGGAGAATTTTTATTAGGCCAGTAGGACAAATAAATATTTTTGAGTGGCAGTTTATTCATGTGTGAATCTTGGTATAATAAATTCAATTTATTAGGCTTTAATTCACCACTATTTCTAAACAATTCAAAGGCAAACTTCGCCCCCTTTTTACATTAAAGTCATGCGACACCCCGTTAAAAGTTTAAAAAAAAAATTAGTCAAAAATGTTCAAATTTTAGTATGTAGTTGTTTACCATTTTTTTAATTATTATGGCGCGTCCAGAGCAGTTGGCATCTCTGGTAGTCTATTGGAAAATTCAATAGAGTTGGCAGCTATGCGTCACC